CAACGAGACAATCCAACACAAAATGTGTCACTGTTAACGGAGGCTATGTATGAGAGGCTTCGCCTTCGCCTGTGCCTTTTAAGCGGTGCGCATTCGCTTTCGCCTTCCAAAAGATGCACCTTTCATTGGTCTTCTTATGTAATTCTTACGTTTCTTGGGTTTTATTCCAATTTCCGAGGGAATACTGTTAGGTTTTCTTATGTCTTGGCCTTTGACTACAGTACATATATACGAGCACAGTACATACTGTCAAAATTATTGTGTGCCATTGAGATTCTTGCATGCGGTGTATCATGTAACTGTAAGAGCACAGACAGATCTTCCCTCATGAGAAAACATTAAGCGTTCCGCTCCAGCAGATGCATGGAATCTTCAGAGAATAGTCCTGTCTATTCCGAACTGTTCGTCAAAGTCAGAGCTGTGCTGGCTTAGCGAAACATTCCAGTCTGCACATTAACAAAGTGAAGAAGAAACGGCATTCTGTGAAAAAATTATATGCACCCATATCGGCAAACAACACTCCATTGTCATGTCGGCACAGCCGGGAACAGAACACAGCCGGGAACAGAACACAGCCGGGAACAGAACACAGCCGGAAACAGAACACAGCCGGGAACAGAACACAGCCGGGAATAGAACACAGCCGGGAACAGAACACAGCCGGGAACAGAACACAGCCGGGAATGGCACAGCCGGGACGGCCAAGAATCGCCGCTCTGAGGGGTAGTCCAGCGTTCTAGCGACGGCGCCAATCCTGGTACCAGCAGCGTTGGTACGGGTTCTGGTTTCAGTCGCCGGCCGCGAATCCACACATTGCCGCCGCATGCAGCGCTAACAGGTGATCGTTCAGGTTTGCGTCCGTCGGGCCTGGCCGATTCGTCCCCCCTAGGTTTCAGAAGTTCTAGCCGGCTACATTCCAGCCCCTTGGTCAGTTAAGTTCTTGCCGAACTAACCTTCGCCAAAACTGCCGCGGCCCCTACCTCGCGGCTGGCTGAAATTCCCTCCATAGCAGGGCTTCTGTCATAATTCCAGCCGTATCCTCGAGTGCTTCTACCATAACTGCTTGCCCCCCGGCGGGCTCGGTTGGAACTGTCCGTCCTGTGGCGGAGATGCAGATGCAGGGCCGAAAAGTGTCCAGTTTACGGTAAATGCATGTCCGGGCGACGCGAATCTTTATGTCGCCTGCACAGCCAGCACGAACATCACTTTTCCGGTTGGCAAATCGAGCAGTAAACTTGGCCATCCAGACAACTTACGGCCAACCGTCCTTCTGCTCTTCTGACTTCGGTTCCTAGTACTAGTCCGCCACATGGCCGTTAGAGCCCGCTCACGTACGACCATGAACTCAGCGATTACTGCGCTAACGGCTAATTCGTGTCTTTTGTATATGCAGCAAAGCTGGTATACCCATCCGTCCTGCTTTAGCATATCGCCGTCGAACTTGACGCGAGGTCCGTCATCCGGCTGGCCGATATCAGCGCTCGCTCGAGATTATTCGATTTGCTAACGTTGTGTCGACTCCGACCGAAATCGACCCGGCTTCTCGGTTTCTCTTTCCGGTCGTGTCGTTGGTCTCGGTCAGCACTGCCCTGGTCATCCCGTCGACCAGGGCTCTTCGCGTCCCGGCGATTCTCGCCGAGACAGCTGCCCGGCAAGATGCAATACTGAAGCATTAAAATTGGACAGCTGGTCGGCAAGATTTATCAGCAGGCCGTATTGCACACGGGCTTAGTGCAGCATGGACAGCAACCCGTCTTAGTCGGAGAGCAGCCTCGCCCGGCACATCTGCCAGCTGTCGGATAACCATGGCCAGCCGTCGTCACACGACAATCGTAGGATGAACCCTGCCGACCAGAACAGACGGTACGGCAGCCTACGCTGGCGCAAACACGACATCGGACTCAGAACCAACATCAACGAAACCTGTCGGAAAGTGACAGCCGGACAAGGGCGGCACAACTACAATGGCCGACATCGAGGATGATCCTTGCCGCCGACATAATTGGTCCGGCCTCGGCGAGACGCTAGATATACGGCGCCGGAGCAATTGACGCAAGAAGAGTCGCGGTACTGACGCGACCGACCGGGTTCGGCAGCAAGCCACTGGAAAATCCGGGAGGCGCCGTGCCAGGCTAAAATCGAAAGTTCATCCTGTCGGATGTGCCGCAATCGTCCACCACGTCGATCAGGTTCCTCGTGTCAGCCTGTTCCTTCCAACGGTTAGCTGCATTGCTCAGGATGAGTTCGTGCAGCTGCGGCGTTCAATCTTGAAGCCTCCTATCTGTTCCGGTCTGCCTCGACTGTTCTTCCGGCTTCGGTGGGTTTGTCCGTCTCGCCGCATCGGTAGTCCGCGGTGCCGTGCCGTTTAATCCCACCGAACCAAGGGGCCGCGGGGTAGCGCTCCGCGGCGCCGGGCAGTTGTTAGATTCGTCTTCAAGCCGACTACTCGTTTCTTAAGCTGTTCCGTCCGGTGTATCGCTGTTCTCAGTTCCTGTTCTAGGTTAACGCATTTCAAAAACACATCCATCTGCGCCTTCGGAGCTTTGACGGTTCATGCGATGAACTCGGTTGATTCGACCAGAGATTATTTGAGCTTTTCTTCGTACGCGTCCCTTCTTTTGTTGCCGTCCGATGCTGTCGCTGTAGCATCTCTATCGCTTCAGTTATTTTGCTGCACTCCTGCCTAAGGTAGACGCTCTCGGTTGCGAAAGTGTCCATCTGTTTTTGAAGTCGGTCGGTGGCTTCTGCCATGTCCATATTCTCCGTTTTAAGAAAGGTAATAGTCGCCTCCTTTTTCGCCAAGGTTGCCTTCTTCCGGTCGATCTTGTTCCGGGCGGCTGCTAACTAGATGGGCCGATTGTCCGCTTATCGTGCCATCGGTGATCTGGTCCGGCGGCCTGCTAAGTTTCTGGAACTGCTGTTCTTCCGGCGTCTGAAATACCGGTTCGTTCGGGTCGGGTCGAGTTCTGTCCGCCTTCGGTGGAGATTCCGGGCTGCCGTCTACTAGAGACACTGGAACAATTCCGGCGAACAGTGTCGGCCGGCGACGGAATGGTTTACCCGCTCGTCAAGCGGTCGACTGAGCTCTCCGTCGAACTCTGCCGAGTAACCGTTGGTGTAAGCTGATCCGCTTCATCTGGGCCGGGTGATCTGGTGGCCGTGCCGGGTTACGATCCACCCTCTGCGGTTTCCGCTACCCGTTCTCCGGATTGTGCGTTCACCGGCTCGGTTGGGTCCGCAGTGCTTACCGTGACGCCGGGTTGCCGAGCGGGCGTGTGTGATGCTCGCCCTTCTTCAGCGGGCTGTCCATGCGTGTCCGGAGGGTGTTCCGTCCGTTTTGTTAAGTGCGGTCCGAATGAAGTGTCAGCTGACTACAGACGTGTGTAACCGTCCAAAACGACCAACGGCTGTCTTAGACGACCGGTCCTTTTGGACGGTTACAGACGCGCACTATGTAAATGTCACAATGAATGACTAATACAGTATCTGTCTGGTGTCAGTTCGTTATGGCGCACAAAATTCTTTTATTAGAATCTCGGATATAAAAAAAACATTTTTTACCTTTGCCTAAATTTTAAATAACACCAACATTACTTTCCAGTCTAAAGGAATCGACCTTTGATCGTAGGTGCACCTGAAGCGAAGGCGACAATGGCTCTTGTCTCGTCCATGCTTACGTAACTTGCGGTATAACCCAAAATATTTTTCAATATGGCTGCGTGCACGGGTAAACACGGGCGTTGGATGCGGGCACGGGTGATTTCATTTGTTTCAGAATTATTATATTTTAAAGTTGGAAGAAGATTATAACCTGGATGGAGGGCATAAAATCGAAGTGAGAGGTGCCAAAAGCAGCGGGAAATGGAATGCGATAGCCGTGGCTACCGCGTTCGTTTTCAAGATGGATCCTGGAACGGCCGTTTTTGAAGTGGATCCGTTGCGAACTCACCTGGCAGCCGCTTATGAAAGCATGCAACTGACACCATTACCATCTGCATGAAGCCGCGCCGAAAAAACTCTGAGCCACAAAACAGAAATATTTGTAACTATTTCTAGATTATGGCACATAAAAACATATGTCAGAAAACCGGTAGAAAAACCTGCTATGACTGACTAAAACGTGGGAAACCACAAGATGTTATTACGACAGAAATTCGGATAACATAAAAACAGAATTTAATCAGCCAATACGTTAACGTAAAAAAACGCAAAATTAAAATGCCGTGCACACAGACAACACCCGTGTTTCCCCGTGCACGCAGCAACTACCTTATAATTATCCTGTTCCCGTCCGTAGTGCGGCAAAATAGCCAACGAGCTGTTTTAACGCAGTGTGCGGTAAAATAGCTAACAAGCTATTTCGCCCACCATAGTGCGGCAAAATAGCCAACTGGCTATTCCGGCGCAGTGTGCGGCAAAATAGCCCTGGCAAAATAGCCTGAGGGCTATTTTGACCCCTATTGTTATACTGCGGCAAAATAGCCATAGCCATAAAATTTTGTTGTACGTTTTTCTTGATCAAGGGTAGGAGCTACTGCTAGTGGCTGAAAGCGTTGCCCGTTATAAGACCCTTACAAAGGAGATGATACATTGGTACCAGTCTCATTTTGTCGAATGTAATCACAATCGTGAAGATCACTCAAGCGTGAATCTGTTTACATTTTTGCCTAGCGTGTGTCATCGATTTACAAGCGTTTTTGTTGTTGTGCTGCCCCGTGGGTGCCGAGCCTGTTGTACGAACGGCCGGGACTGCATCAGGCTGGCTGAATGGCATCTGTCAGCCTATATGTACTGTAGTCCCGTGGATGAAGGCAAAGAGCTTCAGTGCTTCACATGGCATCGATGAGCACTGAGTACGCTCGTCTTGAAGCGCACATTTGAAGCCCAAGGACAAACATCCTCGGATTCGTCCGTTGGTGTAGACGTAACCAGCCACGAGCGCATCCCCAACCGGGCCAACCCGTTACACCTCATCCAGCGTCTAACCCGTTACACCTCATCCAGCGTCTAACCCGTTACACCTCATCCAGCGTCTCCTCTGCGACTCGGGCCTGGTGCAGTGCGACGCCTACTTCTCCTTCAGCTTGACCATCACCATCCTAGTCTGCGCCCACTTCCTGGGCGTCTACGACATCCTCCTCTTCGAGTCCTCCTTCCCCTCCGACTTCTCCTGGCCCCCGCACGTCTTCGACGACGCCTCCTTCGAGACGTACCAGCGTAACGCCGACGGTCGCAAAATCGACTACCCCGAGTTCTCATCCAGCCTGACCAGCTCCTTCGAAGAGTGGAAGCTGAACGCGGCCTTCTGGCGGCTGGAGAACGCCAACGACTACTCGGACCGGCCGGCCTTCGCGCCGGGGATGATGAGCATGGTCGGGCAGATCCCGGTGATCAAGACGCACATCAAGTACCTCCAGGCCATCACCAACCCTGTGGATCTCCCCCCGCCCGTCGCCTGCACCACCACGGAGGACGCGGCCAAGAGTCTGGGCCTGCTAATCGTCGTCAAGTCGGCGCTGGCGCATTTTGAGCGACGCGCCGCGATTCGAAGGACCTACGCCGCCGCAGTGCACCGTCGCGATGCGCAGCGGGATTTCGAGGTGCTGTTTGTGCTGGGAGTGGCCGGGGGGAACGGGGTGTCGGGCAGTGGGGAGTTCTCGTGGGATCTGCAGGAGCGGGTGGTGCGCGAGCAGGCGGAGTTCGGGGATTTGGTGCAGATGCGCTTTGTGGATACGTATTTTAATAACACGGCCAAGACGGTGGCGGGAATTCACTATGTGGTGGATAATTGTCCGGTGTTGGATCCGCGACATGGGTTCTTGTTTCTGACGGATGATGATATGCTGGTGAATGTGGAGAATCTGGAAAAGTTGATTGAAACCGTGAAGGTTCAGCGTGAAGCGGAAGGAAGTGAGTTTTTTTTTAATAATTATTGCAAATCGGTATATGAACAATCTTTTCGTCTCCGTTTTTCAGAAAATAAATTCGATTGTACAATACGTTTTTAAAGAATTTTTTTCATATTTTTTTATAGAAAGGGTACATGAATAATTTGTTAAAATTCTTATCATTTTAAAAGTTTGTCTCAGAGTCTGAAACCACTGAATAAATAGAAAAGGAGGACAAATAAATAGAAATTTTAAATAAATGATTCATAGGAATATGTTCAGATTGCGGGCGTAGATTTTCACTGCTTAAACTGTTTATCAATCTGAAGACCTGTAAATTTTGCGCCCAGTAGAATTTTTTAATAGTGTGGAAAAGCAATTCTAGAGCTCGATAGTTTATTTGCACCATGTAAAATAATTGGAAATTTCTGATTTTTGTTGTATCTGTAGTTAAAGATGTTTATTTGGGTTACAAATTCCCGGGTTCCAAGCCGAAACGTTGGCGGCTATCCAAGTGGTACGTGTCGACCAACGAATACCCTTTCTCCTGGTATCCTCCCTACATCACCGCCGCGGCCGTCCTCCTGTCCAAAGACACGGTAGAGAAATTCAAAAAACACAGCCGGTACTTTGCGATTGCTTTATGCGGCTAGTTGTTTCGAAAACGGCTCGGTTTACATGTTCAGCAATGCATTAATCAGGTGACAGACAGAACATTTTGTGCAAAGTACGGTAATTCATTCACGCAGAGTTACAATGGAGGCTATAACACTGCAACAGACAGATCGTATGCAGCAGCTCGCAAACGCGAGCGCCAGCTTTATTTTAACGCGCAATGGCGCTAACCGGCTCGGGCAGAGCAAGACGTTCAACAGAACCAGACTAAGAGAATTCTAAACAGGTAGACAGCAAGCACATCTCTAGGGAAGGCGCCAATCCTCTGCTTCGACTGATCTCCTGTCTCCTTCCATTTGGCACGATTGGTACTGCGGACATCACAGGCCTTTCAGTCCGCCGTTACTGAGTAGCCAGGGTGGTATTGTGATCCTCCATCTCCCGTGCCCGTCTCCGTGGTGGTATTGCTGCCTCAGCCAAGCACTTCGCACACAGGCCTTGCGGGCCGTGCACTCGCAGCCTGAACTCAGAGTGGTCACCCATCTAAGTCCAAACCGCGCTCGATGTAGACTATCTTTCAAAACCCGAAGGTTTATCCATCTAGCCACAACGAGTGTGCTTGCCACAACGAGTGTGCTAACTATGCTTCACACTTTGTCCCGTTATTCCGCTTCGACGACATCTACCTGTCCATCCTGGCGCACATGATGGCCGTGGAGAGTCAGCATTACGGGGATGCATTTCATTTTGATCATCTGCCGTTCGATGAGAAGACGTACAAGTTCTACCGGGACACCGTGGTCGCGGTGCACGGCTACCATGATCCGGAATTGTTAGAGAGGACGTATGACAAGTTGAAGAAGCTGATGGGACGTGCTTGATGGATTTGTATCAGTATTATTCGTCTTTTCAATCTAGTCGCGGGATTTTCAATGTGAATAATGTACAATACTACTGCACGGGTGTTTTTATTTATTTACATGTTGTCAGATAAAAATGCGTTGCATTCGGTGAATTCTCTTGACGAGCGCAGCTGAGTTAATGATGGTTTTTCCAATAATTTTGTTTATTTTTTAAAAATTAGCAGTCGTTACAGGAAGGATATCTGAACATTTATATGTGGTGATATTTGAATATAAAATAAATTATATTTGCGAAAATAAAAGTCCTGAAACGGATTTTATTTCCCTTTAAATAAGCTCATTTGCCGGTGCCAGCAACTGGCAACGATCGCATTTTTTTTACGGCAGAGCATCTTCCACAGTTCAACCTTATAAAACAGCAAACGCCCCATCCATAGTTAAAACAATAAAACGCAGCTTTCTGTACATTAGTACATACAAAACCATTTGTTTAAACAGGCAGCCATCGAACTACGAAAATCGATACTATTTTCCGATCGGCAGGAGCGCTTCTCCGCTTTCCAGGTCGTGAGTGCCGTGCGTGATTGCAGTATCAGTCATTCACCTTGGGAAAAATCCCAGAATTAAAATAAACAGCATAATTTATAAAACCGAAAAGTAACATCGGACGGGTCCAGGAATTAATGGCAATCCCTTCCAAAATATGAAGAGCATCAAGCGGTTATCCAGACCGAATGCATTCTGCAAAATAAATTGCTGCTAACAATTATTATGACGCAGACTTCTAAGAAACACGGCAAAATAAGCACTGGAAATAACCCAGTAATGAGTAATCAGTTGTGTCAGTGCGAAATGCACCAAAAAAATCACCGATTGTTTTAATTATTTTTCTTATCTATTCGTATTATCATTGTAATTTGTAAGTACCTAAAATTTCCTTATACTGATAACTTTCGGCAAACCCAAAAATGCAAATCAATCTTGAAATCCCTAAACCTTTCTTTAACCTTGTATACACCGTACTCGTACACATGCTAATGCACAATATTATGTAAAAATATACTAGTAACCGCAAACGAACTTATAAATAAAACAACAAAAATTTATTTCACACGACTTTGAAATCAACTGATTTTTATCACATAAATTCCCACTGAATCCTAATTCATTTTAATTGATTATCAGATAACTTAATTTTAAATTTAATAAATTTTAACCTGAAATTATTGTTACATAATTTGAATCATGCACATGCAGATATTAGGAATAGAAGAGTAACGTCGAGTCGTCGACCAAACTCCTTTACCGTACATTCGACTGCCTCAAACTTCAAAACTATTAGGTATAAATAATAAATCAATAATTAAAGAAAGTCACAAAGAATATAATGCGTGCGCGTACCGAGATTTGTGCTCTGTTTAGATGCACTCAGCAGCAATCGCAGGGGATGGGGATGCAGATGGGAATGGGGAAGCAGCACAGCCAGCACGTAGATTCGCCGTCGCCTCCTTCCTGCGGCGAACGGACGGGAAGCGTGCTCTTGGCCGAGGGATCCACATTCGGTGGGATGGTGATGGGCTTCTGGACGGACTGCGGGACAGGGGCCTCCATGTCTGGTATTCGATTGTCGACTGTAGGACGCTCAATAGTGCACAGGGGAAATACAACAGATCAGCTGTTTTCGTATCAGCTGGCGAAAATGTAGCGTCTACCTAGCTTGCGGCACGAATTAATGATGTTGAGAATAGTGGCGGCTCCCTATAAGGTGATCCTGTTTATTCACGGTCAGCAGTCAGCAAGCTAGCTCACCTCAGCACATTAATTTGTAAAGTAGTTCAACAACAGTACAATTAGAATCGCCTGCAGAAGTCAATCAAGTGCGGAATAATTTTGAAACTGAAAGCGATGAGAATTTGTGAGCAATGGTTAATTGCCTTACGATTAGTAAGTACGAAGTACTTGTACGTACGCCGTTTACTCGTTCGGTGACTATTATAGTAATAAGTCGCTGCTCGGTGGTACAGTACGAGTACTTCCGCTTTCTGTCTACTCGTTGGTAGTTCAACAGAATTCTGTGTGAATCCGGTCATTCCGCGGTATGGCGGGCAATGCTGTGGCTGTATTGTACACGTGCAGGTACATAGTATACTCGTAGATTAAGGATAAATAATAATAATATAATAATAGAAGTTTGTCTGTGTAATGATCAGCAGCATAATTGTATGCCGTATATATACTGTACACGCCGGTTAAAATTAATGTTATCATTAATCTTATTACATTAATAATCATTAATCATCATTAATTTTATTCGTGCTGTGAAATGCATTAATAATATATCTATACTATTATATCTGTATATTATATAATAATATAGATAATTATACGAGTATTTACGATTATTTACGCACATACAATAATAATCAACCATGAGTACTTTTATTGTTATTGTTTGTGCGTACTATGTACCTATCTGATGTACTACTTCTGTCTACATAAACCAGCTATGTACTTGTACAAGTAAACACACGTCCAAAAACCACGAAGGACACTAACGGTTTTGGATGTTTTTTTTAATGTTTAAAATTTAATCATTTGAATTAGTGTAAATGTGCGCTCATTTGAATTAGAGTACATAAACAGTAATGATTACTGTTAGTTTTTTAGTTTTCTGTTATGGTTTGCCCGAGACGATTGATATGCATCGTGCTGACCAGAGTTTATACCGACATAATATCAAAATTATATAGAAGTTAGAACAATGTCCAGAGCATATGAATATTATAGTAAGTATTTAATCACTAACAATAAGTGTAGTACTTAATTACTGCACTTCTGTGAAAGCTTTTAGGGGGAAAATATACAGTAAAAAATTAGGGCAGTCTACAACCCCCAGTTCCATCGTAGCGCAAATACTTTTGCAAATTAGCAGAAATAATAATACATAACTAGTAATAAAGTAGTAAAAACATTTATTACTGATAGGGAATCTACCTATTAAAAGTATTAACGGTGTACGTACGAAGTTACGTCGCTACGAACAATGATACGAACAGAAGTGAAATCCTGTTCGTAGCATATCCGATCGCTGGCCCGGTATGCAACTGGCACCGGAACGCCGGTCGAAACGATTTCATTTTGAATTATTATATCTGTAGACTGTAGGAAGTAATGAATTTAGTTTATTTAAATATGCCGAAGCATACTGTACCTAAATTCATCAAAACGATTTCCTAGATACTTGCTGTTATCAAGGTAAGAGAATCAATTCGACTTGAATCCTAAACGACGAGTATATATATATAGTATATATGTAGTTATTGAACTACACATAGAACACCCCAGAACAATCCAGAAAGAATCTTTAAAAATATTAAAGCACATGAAGCACAATTTGCATTATATTTCGTGCCACTAAATGACTGCCAGACTGATATCCCGTTTACCAGGTACAGCAGTTTCGTGTCCGTCATCTATTGTATGATAAATATTGCTCTCCGGCAAAATACATAGATTAGTTTCCTTGATGGAATATCTGGGTGGCAACGGCGGTTCTGTTAAACAACAAAAGTAAACAATTATAATGCTGAAAGGGTCGTCTGAACAACATGTTGCGCCTAAGCCAGTTGCTCTGTATCAAGTATATATTTTTGCAGCGAGATTTACCAACAGATTTGAATACAGGAAGTGTTGTAGTTTTATCTGGTCGAGCGCATGCATCCGCAGGCGTGCAGTCGATGGTTGCTGGTTTCGCTAACTTGGGTTTCTTTTGCCAGATGTGCATAATCGTTAATAAAAACAGTGCAAGCATAAAGGAGATTAACATGACTCCAGAGGTAACGATGACCGGTAGCCTGTAATAGAGTTGTTCGTGGGGACCCTGCTAAAACAAGATCAGAAGATCTGTTACCTCATCTGTACAAACCTGTTAGCAAAACGACCCAAAAGACGGAGAGATCGAAAACCGTGTACTTATTGTGGCATGGGTTTTGGTGTCGCATCAGGATAAAAGTTGCACATGTTACACACAGTGCACTACGGAACACGCGCTGGAACAATTCTGGTTTAGCATACCTGCTTAGCGATATTAACGGCAGGTCGAGAATTTCCGGTTGGTGGAGATAACGTTACTTCCAGAGATTTCTCAGATGTATGGGAAGTTATGTTACCTGCAAAGTGTACTTCTCTTGCAGCCGGATACACCTGTAAATAAAATAACGATGCAGCGGAAAGTTAATCACAAAAAAAACTCTGGAGTGGAAATAAGGTCTCCTGTGCCGCGCGTGTTCATGCCGCGCTATGGAGAGTGCCGTCGTACCTGCAGGAATCTGCTTGGGTGCGATGCGTGAGATGAATCATCGTACTCGTGTCCATCACTGTCCAAGGCATTCTCGGGTTCCACGTGATGTTTCTCGACACGGTCATCGCGCGGTATTGATAAACCATCATGCATTTCCGCTGCAAGGCATAAGAAAATTGTAATATCTTACACTATGTTTGGCTAACTAAGTTACAGATCTCATTTACTGTCAAATTTGTACAAAATGACTACAATATACAAAAACAAAATACTATAATTATATTTATATGCTATTTTGCAATAGAGCCGGGTCGCAAGAAGATTTCGATCAACACTGAAACCATACGTTAAATAACTGCTTCATCACGTACATTTAGCAGTATTGCTGTATTACTTCTGATGACAGATATTTTACTATAAGCTGCATCTGGCTTTTGTTCAGGCGAAATGAAAGATAATGACTACTAACAATGGGTACGGTTCTCTTCCACAATAAGCTCACACTCCATATTTCGCAGCTCATATCGCGTCAGGATTGTACAGAGATACTTTCCAGCGGAAGCCGAAGCAATTTCACCAAATATGAGAAAGCGTCCTTGTGACTGACAATGAGGTGGCAAGGGCTGATCATCGACCCGTGTCCAGGTGTAGCCAATATCAATACGGCCTTCTTCGGGATGCACGCACTCGAAGCTGGCATTCGAGCCGAACCCAATCGGCACTCTCTGTATCCACGGCTGAATGTGATACTCACGTTGTGGAATTCGCGTGGAGACTGGAGGTGAGGCCACCGAAGAAAATGGAAGCGCAGCCCCGTCAACCGATATTTTGCGGACATTGACGAAGCGCTGTTCCAAGTCCAACTTAGGGACCACTGGTGCTTCCAGTTCATCTATATTGGACACAAGCATTTAGAGATGGTAGTGGAATCTTTGTTGCTTTTTACAAAATAATGTACCATTACCAACATTATATTATTATCCTGTTTCCTGAAAACGTCCACAAATTCCTAATAATTATTCGTAATTAGTGAAATTTAAATTAAAAAATTAGTTTTCTGGAAGGTTTTTTGTAGTACAAACGGAACTTGGTAAAATATAAATTATGGTGCTATAGATACATTACCTAAAATTCGATGACAGGAATTGTTCGTTTGATGTACATATAGACATTTTCCGCTCACCTTTCAGTGCATTGTCACTGTCGCTAATAACGATCAGTTCGTAAATAACGACTGTTCCATCTTGATACGATTGCCCTGATATGTAGCATCGAAAAAAGCCCTGGTCCTCATCAGGTGAGGCGTCGGAGATGAGCAGATCGGCGCCATTGAATAAACGATAGCGTGGTTCCAACCAGACCTGATGGCTCCCGGAAAATAGCTGTACGTGTCTCTTGTTGATGTCAAAACGTTCCCAACTAACCTGAGTATGTACATCATCGGTCGCACAATAAAGCTTTACACCTTCTCCAGATTTTACCGTGACGCTAATGGGAGAATGTTCCAGGGATGTTAACTGCATTGAGTGTACCGATGCGCATGCATAGGTGAGCCATAACAGAACACCGTAATTCCGGAAACAGCTGTTCATTTCGGTTTTCCTGTCGTAATGGAATAAATTCATAAATATGCTAGAACATTCGCTGAGTCGATCATATATTTATTTGCTAATTATTCATTATGAAAGAGAGCAAGCACAATAATATGGTATTTTACTGATGCACGAGGAAAAATTGACAAAGGAATGCAGATTACGCTGAATTGTGTTCACAGTTGAAGGCGCGGAACCATTTCTAACGAGGCTTTCTAACGAAGTTTGCACGAGGGATTTTTGCATTTCTTAATATTTCATGCGTGAATTCACGTATCCAGAGAAATTCATAACTTTTGTACGTGCTGGGTAGAGATCAATGTGCAGTTAGTAGCTGCAACTGCACAGAGCTTTTATTAATGTGGATCCAAAAACACGACATCGCGCGCGCCGACCATAATACCAACAATACTTTAATTATCGTATTTATCATACATATCTTAATAGATATTTTATTTGAAATTCTCAACCATTCTTATCTACGACCGAGGATTGATAATCCCGATTTCAATCCCGCTGCTTCCGCGACCGCGTTAGGCCGCTGCTTCTCGGTGTAGCAACATTGAACATATTTAACAACTTGCTTCCTCTCTCTTCCGGCACATTACACAAGCGGTGCAGCAATCAGTCCCATAAATTTGTCTGCCAAATAATTTCTTCCTACTCCGTCTCCAACTCCTGTAGCCTTTTCATTAGCAATGCGCAGTGTAGGGACCATTAAATTTTTATGGTCTTCTTTGTTCCAGCACAACTCAAACAAATCCGCGCCAAATCGAAATACCAGTGTCCAATAAGGAAACCCCTGGCCAATCAGAGTACCTACAGTATACAAGAAGGTCATGAGTAGACCAGCCGGTAGCGCAGGTAGACCAGCTACAGCAGGCAATTACTGGTATCGGAAGTTGGCAAGTCGATAAGCAGTCCACAATATGAATGTCTACTGTGGGGAAAAGGCATTCTTTATTGGTTGCGAACCCAGCCGACAGGTACGTGTTTGCGCAGAGATACTTCCAGAATCTGAAGCCTGATACTTCCTTTTTAAGAAATCAAGGCATTACCGCATCGAATCGGCGCTGTCCACCCAGGATTCTTTTGGCAACGATGGTACGCACGCTTATGACTTGGTGCTAGTGCTGTAGGGACGCTAGTGACCAACTTCTGATCCTTTTTGGCTGTATTACAGCTGCTACCGAGAAGTTTCGCCATCGTCAAGCGTGCGATGGCATTGGCTGGATACTACTTGTGTGACTATAATTATATCATTGTGTTTGAAGTGCTCCAAAAACCATGTACTTACCTATAATCATACTGGTAGATGAACTGAATTTTACTAAAATATAGTAGATGGGGTATATTACGGCAGATATCCTTTGCCTACGAAGTAATGTACGAGTACAGAATGCAACGCTGTATGTCTCGTACTGTATTTTACGGCCAAAATCAGAATTAAATTTTACCGGTCGTGAAAGAGTTCTAGCAAATAGTTCTTTCTAGCACCAATTTGCGAGCAATTATTGTTGAATTCCTTGTTATCCAACAGCAGTCATTGCCAGTCAACCACTGGTTAATATAGTCACAAACGCGCTTTTAACAGTGACAGTAAAAAGCAAGTAAAGTATTGTGAGACGAGGGCTCACTAGCGTTCACGCCTGTGGCGCTAGGCGCTACGCCGATGGATTACGGTCTGTGTTGTGTCTCGCTTCTGATTGGCTCGCGCTTTATTAGTGGGCGCGGTATAGCACGTGCTGCACACTGTTGCACAGTGTGGAATTGGCTCTACGATTTGCGATCGAGCTGTGCCGATGAGGATGTTGATTTCTGTTGTGCAGACTTTCAATATATTAAAAGTCAGCAATTAGCGGTGCGACGTCTAGTGTTTTCGCTTAGTTCGCAATCCAGATCGCATTGCTCACTCCACAGGATCTATCCCGTTTAGGTCTCTGTCCCTGGATCACAGTTGGATCTAGCATTAGATGGTAGCAGAGCCGACAGCGGTTCTCTGATTGATTTGACTGGACTTGATCTGATTTGATTTGTCAGGCAAAGTTGGCCTGTTATTTGTGCCAGGCAAAGTTGGCCTGTTATCTGCTGTGACCAGTAAGGCACAGGTCTGTGGAACAGCAAAGCGCACACCACAAGCGGTGCAATTTCCCCCATTGGACGCGGATTACCAGCTTTGGTTTTCGGTACAGTGTCTTCAGCGAAGACCTGTGCTGTTTCCTCAGCTGTGAAAGAGTTCAAGAGTTTCAGTCGTCAGTGTTCCTCGGTGTAGAGTCTTCAGCGAAGACCTACACTGGTGTCACTGATACTCGGCAAGGCTTCAGCGAAGCCTAAGCCGTGGGCCGCAAGAGGCGAAGCGCCGAAAGGGGCGCACGGGAAAAGACAGATCAGACTCCTCCAAACTGGAGTAGAGCACCACTACTGTTGCTACGGCAGTCAGCCGGCACAGTAGCAGACTCAAAGCGTGCGGCACAACCGCTACGGAAAAGCGGCAACGCGGGAGCGGAATTTGGAGAAGAAATTGGATCATTTGGATCGTTTTCCCGTGGAACGGACGGTGAACAGGTAGAAAAACCGTTATTAATTACGGGATTGGCTAGTCGATAAAATTGGCAATTTCTATTGGTCCGTTCTGAGCTGAGCATAGACGTAGGCGGAGTTTTGCACGCGGTGCGCATGTCTGGTCGTTGACCGTGACGTCAGGCTGATATAAAATTTAAGTGGACTAACGCTATTGGTCAGTTATCTGAGCTGTGATTGGCCGAAATTTGAACCGAGTAAATTGAACCAGCGGACCAATAGGAACGAAGTAAACAACGTAAATGGGGATTTTCCGTTGAACTTGAACGGTAATGAGAAATCTGAATTGAGACGAGATATTTGAAAGGGAAAATGACCTTTTGAGTTGAGACGAGCAGGAAAGTGACCTTTAACACCGGAAGCTGACCTTTGACTTTGAAAAGTGACCTTTAACGAAAAGTTTTAACTGACCGAAATGAACTTTTGAGTGACCTTTAAGATTCTGAATCGACCAACAGTGACCTTTTACCGAAGTTGAAATCGAGGCAATTAGTAGTACAGCGATATCACCAGCTGTAGAAAATTGTCCCTAAACTTGTTCTGAACTGTAGAAACGGTTTCGAAGTTTTGTCTGAAAAGTGACTTTTTAGGGCAAATCTCTCGAACTTTTTATCGAAAAGGTGACCTTTAGACGGAACTTAGTCGAAATTTCTCAACTGAAAAAGTGACCTTTAAAAAGGACTTAGAAAATTTTGCAGAATAAGGTGACCTTTAAGACAATTCAATAAACCATACAATAACGTGTGTGTGAGAACAATTGACAGGAACGTCCAAGTTATCCGATCAACATGGATAAAGACAACGAACAGCCGACATCTACCGGCAGCCAGGGAAGCACAAGCTCCCGCAGCTCACAGCAAAGCGCACCGAATCCGTACAAAAAGGATCTGCACTCATATTCACGTCCCGTTGGACATGAACGGAGCACTCGGGCGCCCAAGGCACCCGAGAAAAAGGACTCACGGGGCTCTGATAGCACCTATCAGAAGGCGCTCGAGGCGGTCGCCAACCAGGAGAGTTCCAGTGACGACCAGAAACACACTCCCGCGTCTGTGGCGGGAGGCAAACCGATGAACCAGAAAAAGGTCACGGGAGAGGAAAAATCCACAGAGAAAGGAGTGGAAGCAGTGGGAACATCACAGTTGGATGTCACCACTGTCAGAATCGATGAGCAGGATAAAAACGTGAACCTGGCTCAAACGGAAGTTGGAAAGACAAAGGTCACCGAAGAGGAATTGGCTGAGCTTGGATTGGATGACCTTTCACTGAACGACAGGACTGCAGGTGATGACCTTTGGGCAACTCCAATGGTCTCAGACGAATCAAACGAATCGTACTTCACGGATGATGAAACGACGATGAACATGTCCTTCCAATCCGCGATGAGACAAGCCGATCGCGCTGAAGGGATGACACCCTTCAAAGACATACCGGAGCACCTTATTGAACGATCGAAAACAGGAAAGGTCATCAACGTACGACCACCATCACCGAACAGTCCCACGTCAACTCTGAGGAGACGCGTGAAGGAGTTGGAAGAAGAACTAGAAGTCAAGGAAGGCCAGGTGACGAAGAAGAAACAGGAATATCAAAATCGGATAGGATCTCTGGATGCTCGTATTTATGAATTGGAGCAGCAACAAGCTGACTTGGAAAGCGCAGCGGATGAATGGAAGATCAAATACGAGCGTCAAAAAGAACTCGCTGAGGAATACCTAAAAATGGTAGATGACAGAGAAATGGAAGGTCATCTCGCAGTCAGTGACCTCAACGAGAGTATGTCAGAGGAATCAGCAGAAAGGTCACGGCACTTAGCCGAATTGAAGGACGAATGTGACTCATTGAAACAAAAGGTCACCGAAGCTGAAGCTAAGAGGGACGAATACGCGATCAAACTCGCCGAAGCCTCTCAACGATTGTTGGCAAATACCACTGAAGTATTTAAGCTCAGAAACGATCTGAAGCTCCGAGACGAGAATATCGGAATACTCCAACGAGAATCGAAAGGTCATCAGAGGAGAGCTGATGAAGCCGTTCAAGCGGCTAAGGATCTGAGGGACCTTACAGCCACCGAAGGCGTGAGGCTGAGCAACGAGATAAAGCAGGTTACGGAAGAGAATGGGGTGTTGAAAGAAAACATCGAAAAGGTCACCGAAGAGAACGAAGAACTGAAAGAAACTGCCAAGACGTTAGCCGAACAAGGCTTAAGTTGGGAGCGAGAAGCGCGCCTTCTGGACACAAAGGTCACGGCGCTCGAATTGAAAGACAAAGAGTGGAAACAAATGGTTCATCAGAAGACACAGGAGAGTACAAAACTCAACATGGAGTTGACCGACATGACGCAAACGGTCATGGCAAGAGACGATGAGCTCACAGCAGTTAAAAACCAATTGAGATCAGCTGCTGAAGAATACCAGAAGCTTGAAGGAGACGTGACCCAGTTGGCCGAACATATCAAAAAAGTGGAAAACGGCACCGAAAAGATCATTCAGGAGAAAACGTTCCAACTCCATCAGCATATGCTAAAGGTCAACAAGGAGAACCAGAACCTGATAACCGAGAAAGAGCAATCGGAGTTGAAAATCAGATGTCTCGAGGATGAGAACAAGGCTCTCAAAATGTCCAATAAGAATAAAGATGAGCAACTCCTTCAATACGGAGTTAAGACGGTAACAGTGGAATCACCGCCGCCCAGTTACAGTAAGGCACATGAAACGGGCACGGGCAAAAGCTTCCATTTTGAAATGCCGCTACGAACTGGAACCGGTAAAGGAAGCATCAAAGCGGAACGAAATGGCGAAAAGGCAAATGAGGACAAAGAGCAGCCGTCGGAAAGTTACCCGCATATGAGTCGAGGTGACCTTTCACAATTCCCCCCACACATTGAAACGAATGTGTTCATCGACGAAGGGCACCGAGACAGACCGTCTAGTCAGCAAGAACGCCCACGGAAGTCTCGTTATACAAAGATGCGACGAAATACAAACGATGACGAAAGTAACGAAGAAGAAGAAGACCCGAGAGGAGGCTTTGCATTAGCGAAAGCACTCAACTCTATGGCCAGGAAAACACCACTCGTGACCTTTGACGGCAGTCGCGACACTGTGAATGGTTGGACAAGACTGGTAAGAGATACACAGAGAACGTACCAGCTCACCGACGATCAAATCATGATCGAAATAGCCAGTGCGGTGAAAGGTCCTGCTAAAAACTGGTTCGAAAGCGAAAAAGATATTGCATCAGAAGACGGAATCGAATACTCAGTAACGGAGTGGATGGACAAATTCAAAGACGAATACGGTGACCGAGATGAAGAAGTCTTAGGCTTACGTGAGGCCTACGCAAGGAAATTCGAACTTGGAAAAGAATCACTTGATCAATACTATCAGGCGATGATGCGATTCAAAGCAAAGAGAATCATCACCGAGAAGCAAGCAGTTGGCTTCTTAATCGAAGGATGTAGAGTGGATAACGAACTCTACAAGGCATTGCGTACACAGAAATGCAGAACGCCAACTGACGTGAAGGACTTTTTCCGGCATTGGTCAGCCGGGGAAGAAAAGTACAAAGCCCCTAAAGGTCAACGAAATCAAGACTATGCAACGATCCGTACAGGCCAAGTCGAAAATATGCCGCAACAGAGGATGGCAGCTGCACCAACTCAACAACCGGTCGAATACCGAAGGGAAACTCCGGTGCAAGAGGTCACCAGGGAAGTGACCTTTATCGACAGCCAGACTGGGCAGCCGATAACATATGCGATGGTAGCGGCAATACAAGCGGCGGCTCAAGTGAGACCGGCACCTCAGAATGTGGCCCCACCGGCGCCACAGAACGTGGCCCCCTTGAATGTCGGATTACCACAGCAGGGAGTGGGTAACGGAAACTTCGGTGGAAACGGCTATAGAAACGGGAACTGGAACGGAGGTCAAGGCAACTTCCAGAATCAAGGCCAGGGTCAAGGCAACTTCCAGCCGAATAGAGGAAACCAGAACTACCAACAGAATCAAGGGTCACGAACGGAATTCAAATTCCAGATGATCGATGGATGGGTGGCGAACAATGCGCAGATGTGCCAGTACTGTATGTATGGCAACCATCAGACGCAAGGATGTAAGTTCGCGAATACACCGCCAGAGCAGAACCCAAACCTGTTTGCCTTTCGAGAATGGCAACGGTTGCGCAACCTTGGTGGTTGGCGCCAAGCAATGGCAAACGGATATGACCTCATCGCCCAATGGTATCAGCACAAAGCGAACTCCCCGAATCAGCAGGGAAATGGCAATGGCGGCGGCCAAAATGGCGGCGGCTACGGCCGTGGTGGCTACGGCCGCGGTAACTTCAGAGGAAGGGGCAGAGGTTACGGCCGCGGAAACTGGAATGGTGGCAACCGAGGCGGCGGAAACGGAGGCGGCCAAGGAAACTACCAACAAGGCGGTGGCCAAATTAATGGCGGCGGACAGAACCCGGCAAATGATGGCGGCCAACAACAAGGAAACGTGCAAGGAAATGTGCAGGGCGCGCAACAAGGTGGTGCGCCGGTTCAGGGAAACGAGCAAGATCAGTAGGCGCCGGTGAGCCTACTGATCGCCCCGACCCTAAACCACCGGATAAAAAGGGAACGGAAAGGTCACCACTGCAGAACGGTACTGCAGTGAACGTGACCACTGCGACGGCTAGATGGATGCCGTCAGCGCAAAACGGAAGTGGACCGGCTACATGGATGCCGCAACCACAGGAAACGGCTAGATGGATGCCGTCACATAAGTGGAAAGAAACGGCTAGATGGATGCCGTTATATAATCAGAAAGATACGGCTATATGGATGCCGCTACAGCAACAAAAAGAACTGGTTATCGGGAAACCAGTACAAATGAATCAAAGGTCACCGCAGAATGGTACTGCGAGTGGAAATGTGCAACGGGACCAAAGGTCACCGCAGAATGGTACTGCGAGCGGAAATTGTCGTGACGGTAGCGCGACAC